TTGGGAAATGAAGTGCCAGCCAGCAGAACGTAGCAGAACTGAATGACCTGCTGATGAGTAAATTTAGCCATTCAGGTCTGTTGGATAAGAGAGAAGCAGGATGGCAGCTCCCGAGGACTGGACTTCAGCACCTCTGCTTTAGTAATTAAATGACTTCATGAGAATCATGAATAAGTCTAATTTATTAACAAGAAATGAATACTGGAACACTCCATCACACCGTTGAAGCTTAAAGCAGCATTCATCCTGTTGGTTGAGCCAAGAAAAGACAAACAAAGAGTAGAGATAGGAAATGACCAATCAGAGGAAGGACTGCATGCAGCCGAGTTCCTGAGTTAACTTTGAACTTTGAACTGTGAACTGCTTCAACTGGTTTTGGGAGCTCAGATCATCATGTACATACAGGTAGAGTGAGCACTTTCTGTATGTATGTATGTAAAAAACAGATTTTTATAAATTAAAGTTACAAATAGCATCTTTAAGAAATTAATTGTCTGTTAAAGAAATTATTTATATATTTATTCATTTCATGACTCATTTAATAATTTAATTTTGTTCTTTTAACTTTCTATACTTCCCTTCTCTCCTCATTTTTTGTAGGCTAGTATTTGTGAATAAATTCCCCGTGTGTTCATTGTTACAGGTCAAACATTAAATAATTATTTTATACTTTGTCCTTGTGCTTTAATTCTTGGCAGCAGAGTGAGATGTCTGAGCCAATCAAATAATCAGGTAAGGCAAGTAAAACAAATAAAGTTGCACAGATTACATCAATGTCTATGGTAAATATATATACATAGGACTGCTTGCATCTATACATTTAGATAAAAACTATACATTTACACTTTTCCTAAAATGATTCTTTCCCAGATCATATGATTTCTGCAGCTGTACTTTATTTCTCAAGAGATAAAATGTATTTCCATACCTCTCACGTAGATTATTTTATGCGAGTAAGACTTCTAAATATGCTTTCCGTTTTGTCCAACATCATTGAAAGAGCGTCTTCTTACCCCTGCTGTTGGGAGTATAGAGCGTCTTGTCCATCTGTATGAAGATGTACCCAGACTGTAAGGACACCAGGACAACTTTTTCCAGGGTTTTGTCTGGAAAATTGGCTTGAAGATAAACATATTGCCTCATAGTGGGATCCTTGCTGAATTCTGCTGTCGGTATCTGAAACCAGAGTGAGAAGGCAGACTGATAAGAAACACTTCAGGCATATTAGCAGTCCTGTTATTGCAAGAGTGTTTTACTTACAGTTACTTTTCCAAACCCCTGGAAGTTATTCGCTCTGTTGAGGATCACGGATGTCCCAGTCAGCTTCTTGTTTTTGGTGGGATGGTTCATCACGTTGATCCTGACCTCCATGTCCCCTCCAGTGCAGTCCTGACATTCCACAAAGATGTTTTCTGCTGTTCCCACTCGCATCAGGTTGGGGGCAGACATCACTTTGCTACAGGTAAATGATATGGTGCATGGGTATTTTGAAAGAAAAGAACTACAGATTCCAACAAAATGCTGCTAATTTATGGTTTAGAGTGATTAGGTTATCATCCATCACTACTTCATTTATAGTCTACACACTACTAAAACTAGATTGTGAAGAGATTTTTCCATTTGTGCAGTGGATCTGATCTTAGATCTTATATAATTGCCATAGGCATCTTGGCTGCCTTTTTGATTAATGCTCTCCTTAGGTGGATGTCTTGGTAGATACCTATGCCAAATACATACCCATGCCACACACTTCTCAGATTTTTTACTAAAAAAAAAGTCACCTGTCCTTTTCTTTCACTTCACAATTTTGCATTCCAGAGTTAGTCACATAACATTCTAATAAACTTGGGTTGTTACACAACAGAATGTGAAAAAGTTGCCTTTCTGTGCTACTCTGCTCAATTCAAATCTTGCTTACAGTACAATCTGGGTTTTCTCCTGCTCACTCGATTCCCTCTAACAGCTTTTCTGCCAGACCAATCAGCCAACAGAAGGAGAAGTAGTGAACGACGACGTCGATTTTCCGCGCTGTTTTAGAATGGCAGCAAATGAAGTGAACGAAGCCGTTCACTATGTTGGCCATACTTCCGAATATTGAATTAGCATTAACAACTGCCTTGTTTGGCTCTACATATCTCTCTTTGTAGTGGAGGGTGGTTGTTTAAAGGGGAGGCAATTTTCCATAAGTTTCATAATGTCAAACTGGCGCAGGAAAACGTCAGCAATGGGGTAAAATTGAAAACCTCAAGAGTCCAAGCCTCCAGGAATCATATCTCATATCTCAATAGCCGAGAGGCCAGACTCTCTTTATGAAGCAAAAACTGGAACCAGGGGTCGATTTTTTATTTTATGAATACTTTTAAATGACATTGTACATTCAAACTCTGGAACTGTTGGCATCTGATTGCTGTAAAGTTGAGACCTGCTATTGATCCTTTGATTAAACATTTAGGTTGTTCACATTTTTATGATGACTTTTTTAGTAGAAAAAAGTCATCTTTTTGACAGATCAGTCCAAACAACTGATCTGTTGTTTGGACTATGTACTCAGTAAACCAACCATTGATAAAGATCCAAGGCTATGCAAACACAGAACGAAATGCAGGACAACATTTTGGCAGCAAGTACAGCAAAAAGGTTTAAGAGGGCCAAAAAAAACAAAACCATATAGTAAATGTTTGCGAACTATTAGTAATACATGTGAGATAATCATACAAGAAGTATACAAAGCCATACAAAATATTCTAATTTGGTTTCATAAATGGTTTACATTCAAAGAAACAGATATATTTCATCTTTAGGCTTTAATTTCTATAAATTTGTATTGTGCTGCCAACACTTGGGTCTACTTACAAATTAGCTCCATCAGCCAGAGGAGCCCAGGAGGCAAAGACCAGAGAGGCCAGCTGCAGCAGAAGAGTTCTTCTCATCCTCCAGATTGGTCCCTATCTGCTGCCAGTGTGAAGCGAAGCTCTACAGAGCCTTTCTAACTCTCCCAAACCTGAAGGTCCTCCCACATTTCCCCTTATCAAAGTCCCATCTGTTCTACTCTCATTTGCACACCTAAACATAAGCAGATGTAAGCATGGCTTCCTGGCAGTATGTAATTTAACATACTTCGTATATAAATTTTTCACCAGGGTATAAAATAAATGTCTGCTGTCTGATCAAATTATTACTCTTGTATTTGTTACTGGTTATCAGTGAAGAAAATAATGGATTTCCCATAAAATATTAAACATATTTTTGGTTTTAAAAGTTGTTAAACTCTTCATTAAAGAAAACAAAAACTAAAATCTGCATCAGACAGTTTATGTAGAAAACAATAACATCTGCATGGATACGTTGGACGTGTTCTGGTAAATTCTATCAGTTTAGGACATATTTTCTAACAATAACTTAAACTTTAGAAACATGAAATGGACAAACACTCAAACCTTTTCTGTCTTTGGAGAAGATCCGAGGAAGCTAAACATTTAGCTTTCAGCTAAATAATTAGCTAGCAAGACAAATATTATTTACCAGGTAAATATTTAGCTTTGAGCTAAATAATTAGTTAGTAAATTTAATATTTAGTGTAATTGCTAAGTAAATATTTAAATGGCAAGCATAAATGTTTAACTAGTTGCCAAAATCTGTCATTGTCTTGCATTTATTGATCTTTTTTTTGGAAATGTTTGTGTGTCTGATCAGTTTCAGCATTCCCTGATGTTATTGTGGTTGTGTCAGAACTTTTCATTTTGATGACACGTTCGCTGAGATGAAGACCTGCTTTAGAGGAACGAGCCATTCATTCTGAATTAGATCTGAACAGCTTAGCTAGATTTTGGGTTTGTAGTAATAGTTTTAAGAAATGCTCCAGTTGTTGTGCAAATGTGAAGAATGAACCAAAAACTCAGAGGAACTGGAAAACCAAAAATTCTTAAAGTCTGAACAACTTCTTCACATTAAGTTGCAGGTTATTGTAGTTTAAAGACTGAAAAAATTGGCTTACAAAACATTTTTTTAATGAATATTACATGCAAATTTAGGTCTAAGTAACAGAAAAAGGGGAAGCAATCTTAATTTTACAGGTTTTCAATAAAAGGTCGTACAAATAAATGTAAGAACATTTGAGAATGAATATGTGTGCAGGACCGTGCAGAGACCACTAAAGGGGCAGGTGCTCAAATAAAAAAGAGCACATCTAGCCGCATTTTAGGACAGAATATTAAAGTCACACAGCTTTCAGGGTTTAAACAATGATGAATTACAAATCGTGAGATATACAACTAGATTTAGTACATCTTAACATAACAGTTGCCTTGTATTATTAAATATATTGTTCACTACCAAAATTGCATGTTGATTATGGTAAGAACCTTTATTTATTTATTTTTCTTACCTGCGGTACTTGTTCTGACCCAGTTGGTCAACAATCCACTACCTTTGGCTGCTTCTGGCAGATCCTTTTTCTGTTTCTGACGTTTTTCCTTTATGTGGCATCTTTGATCTGAAAAAAGCAAAACATAATGAATTATGATCAGAACACTATATTAAACCACACTACCAATTATTTACCCTTGTGTTTAAACCAATATGTTTTTCAGTCCCTAGAACAACATAATATTACTTAAAGTCTGGATTGAGTTTTTTCCATTAATGACACGCTTTTATTGAGCAGGAGCAGCTTGACTGATTATTACAGATGTAGCAAGTCTGTAAAAAAGGTGTATATTTCACCTCAAATCCATCTTCACTATTTATGTATATTTGTTTTTCTTAGTTTCTGAATTTTATTTTGGTGGTGACGCTTTTATTTTCTTGCTTCCTGTTTGGCGTCATATCCTGTGTGTTCCCGCTGCTCTCCTCAGTTCGCCCCGAGCTGCGCTGGGGAGAGGTAAGCGTATGAAGTTGCCTTCTGTTTAAGTGTTAAAATATTCGAAATGTTCTTAAAAGTATGTTCACTGAGCTCACAACTTGTTATATTTTGTTGTTAAATTGTTTTATGTGTAGCGCAGCACATTATTGGGTATTTAATTCCCACATTAAAGACAATTATCGAGTTTACCATGCAAACACTTTTATTTTTGTTCTTTTGGTTGGTTAAGGTTTGTGTGGGGAGGCCGGAGCCCGGGAACTGCTGTGCCAAATGCATTTTTATTTTGAACAGAATAAACCCGCCTTCCTGCTACAACACACAGTGGGACCTCGACTGCTGGTTTCTGTCTTCACCAACAACAGATGAGTCGGATGGAACCGGCAACACATACATTATATATGTCATGCTAATTCAGGGTGAGTTATATCTAATTCTACATGAATATCCTTGTTGGACTTTTATTTAAGTGCTGTTCTCTTTCAAGATACATTTACCTAACGCTAGAATAAATGCAGTGTACATTATGCAGCAAAGAAAATTAGAAGATAAGAAATATATATCCATTATGGAGATGACAGGTTTTGGATGGGCGATGTGCCCCTATTGCTTAAGCGATACTGAAGAATGACCGCTATCATTGTCATGTCGGGTTTTAATCTTCTGACCCACATGCAAGAATACCCTCGGCACAAAGGAAATCAGTAAAACGATCTTTATTATAAAGAAAACAATAATCAGTGGGAAATCTGGTCCCGGGCAGGATCAGCGCTTCAGGGTTGGGACTAGAGGATGAGAGAAAGTTGGTGAGTTCTTTAGCTGAGAAAAATGAGGAATTGACGGGCAAAAACTGGAGCAGACTTACTCGGGGTGGAGATGATCACGACCGGGGGCATATGATTGTTCCAGGGTGAATATCTTGGAGCCGGGGGTTACTGCTGGGTTATTGAACGGCGGGGGGCGGCACTGGAGGGCGGACAAGACCAGCTCAGGTTCTCTCTGTGGTGAGAGCGAGGGAGGCAGCCTACTTGAAGATCCAGGGGGATCTGGTCACAATGATGAGGTGAGTACTAAGGCACCCGGTGGGTAGGATTCACCGGCTCCTCAGAGAAAGTTTCTGGGAAGGAGACACAAAACAAGGAATTCTCGAAGAGAGCAATTACTAGAATAAAACAAGAGGCCTGAAGTACCAAAACTGGCAAACACTCTGGCACCGATGTGCAGGCTGCCTCCTCCTCTTATACTCCTCCGGATGAGATAATGCCGAGCAGGTGGTTCAGATCAGCTGGTCCATGCCCTCCAGGAATAACCTCCAGGCGCCCCCTAAAGGATGGAAAGAAAACAGCAACCTCAAAAAGAAAACACCCAGGAACCCAACAATCATTAACGATACAGGGAAGAAGCTTTTCAGTTATTTTTCTTTGCTAGCAAAGTCATTAGCTAGCAGCTAGCTAATAGCACATTAACAACAGCCTAATGGCTGTATGATAAAAAATACTGAATCGATAGATAAGAAAATTTTTTCCTCACCTGACTGTCTCCTCCCCTCAGTAGTTCTTCAGAGAAAGGCAGATGCAGAGGCCTGTCAGTGTCTGTTGTATTTCATTACCTCCCTGCTTAAACCGCTACTCAGTGTTGAAGCAGAAACGATGCAACGTTTTCCGTTATCTGACAAGCAGCAAGTCTACTCCACTTTATTCATCAAAAACTTTTTTTTTAATTCACCAAAAACTGTCCTGTAATCTGGAACGTTCGCTACGTTGAGCTCCGCAGTTAGCCGCCCTATCACTGCGTGACAGGCCATTGCGTCATGCGTCACGGGCAAAATGTCAAAGGTAACAAGGTGACCGGAAGGCTTATTATGTTATTTTTCTTGAAAAATACAACAAAACGAACCAAAAACCAAATAAATTTAGTACATGTCATGTGTCAGAGGGCTTAGGAAATAATAATAATAATAATAATAATAATAATAATAATGTATTATTATTATTTGGTATATTTGAGAATTACAACACTGTAAAGTGACATGTGGGTCATTCTCTGAATTCAGAGCACTTTGTGTGTCACAGATTTATCTAAAAGATTTTCAAATAATGAAAACCAATTTTGAGAAAATCAACAAATGGAAATAGCGTTACATCACCGTAGCAGCGCCAGGTTGGCTAACTCTAGCTAGCTAGCGTGTTTGCTGGATTTACACTGAGGATGGTATAGCTAGCTAACTGTGTTCTCTTGGCTGCATGCCGGTTCTGACCATAGACATCAATACTAACAATATTAATGTCTATGGTTCTGACTATCACAACACCGGCAGCTAGCGTTAGCTAGGGTGTTTTTGTGTTGTGATGCGTTACATCACCGTAGCAGCAATGTAGTAGCTATTAAAATAGCTATATGGCTTATGAAGAAATGACCGATATAAGTGTAGCCTGTATATTCAGATATCTTTTTTTTTTTCTCATTTTGAATAGACTTTCTCCAAAACTACTTTTTCTTTTGCAATGAAACAGTGTCTTTTTCTTGTCAACCAGTATGGACTGATCCTAATTGTTCAAGCAGATTATTAACATATACAGGGTTATATAGGATATAAATCTGCTAAACGGGTGCAATTGGAAGTTGTTCTTGAGTTCAGCTCATCTTTGTCGTTTCTTTTTGGCATGTTGACTAATTTAACCCAGTCCTCTTTCTTTTCTTCTGTTTATTTGTTCTTCCATTTTTTTTCTGTTTGTCCTTTCTTCCTATTCTCTTAGCATGCAAACTATCAGACTGATCCAAGCTTTATTTGTGCAGCAAAATAAAAAAAATAAGAAACACTGGCTGCACAGTGGTGCAGTTGGTAGCACCTGTTGTACCAGTTGTAGCTTTGCCTGTTTGTTCTATGTTGCTTATTACTTTAATGTTATTAAAGTAGTAATATTACGTAAAAGAATGTGTCATCATTTTTCAGACATGAGACATATAAATAAACCACTAAGAACACGAATAAGTCAAGTGAAAGGACAAAGAGAAAACATATTTGAAACATGTTGTGTAAGCAAGCATCAAAAGTCAAGACTCTGAGACAAAAGAGAACGTCAGATTTTGATTAATATATTTTTATTTTAGGTCTTATACAGCCAACTCTGGACAACCTTTACAAACATTGCAAAAAAACATTATTGGATACATGACCATTGTTTTCTTGAGTTCAGTTACTGCTGACATGCAAAAGTGGTGTACTGATCTTCCATCTCCTCCATGCCCATGCAGGTAGGTCGATGTTCATCGCTCTGGCACTCTGCTTCTGAGGGCCAGTATTCAATCCAGGTCCTCTCCCCCAGCACTTACTGGAACCTAAGAGGAGCAGGGAGACACACACACACACACACACACACGAAAAGACAAAGAAAGAATATTTTCTGCATCCAGATCAAAAGCTATATGAGCTTCATATTATTTATTCATTTAGATGCAACTTTATGCCAGCTTGTTAACGGCAGCAAGGAGCTTATGGTGTCTCTGCAACGTGCTACGGGTCATTTGTTTGCCCCTTAGTGTGGGTCAATGTTCACACACTCTGTATGGATAAGAGGACATTTACATGTAAAGTTGTGTAATTCTTGTTAAAAAAAATGATTAAAGTTTTATTGTCAGTCCAGCCTGAAAAACCCCACAAAAACTAAAACCTTTCTAATATATATTAGCTCAAACTTCCCAATTGCATTCAGGATATTTTTTATGTTTAGTTCTCTGACCAGAATGTTAGCTTTTAATGAGCAGTGATGATTTTAAATGATCCACTTGCACAAGTAACAACTTACGTTTGCTTCTGGTCGTCTCTGTGAATGTCTTTGGATGATCCCATGATGAGGTAAGTTTTGCCATTTTGCAGACTCAAAGCTTCTCTACAGTGCTGATAACTGAGGAATGAGCGCAGCTTACCAGTAGGACCAACGTCAGTGCTTCCTGTGGTCAAATTGTAGAACAAGAAGACAAAGCGAGTGAGGATCTTGAGGTCACTGAGCGACTTGATACACAACAACAATCCAACTCATGGCCCTTCAAAGAGTTCAATACCCACCTTCTTTAATAACTTTCACTATGCGCATCATGTACGAGTCTGTAGACAAGTCAAAGTCACTCGTTTCCACCATAGCTTTGTACGCTGTGGGCAGACAATGTACAGGCTTGAGATCTCGTGTATTGCTCTAACTAAAAAAGTATGTCTTCTTTTGTTAGACATTTTCATGCCTGCTGTTTCTTACCAAACTCTATCTTGCTGGTCTCCGTGCTCTCGCAGATCTTAGCTGTGCGCTCATCGTTGTTAATCTGACCCTTTTTCTGCAGACTGCAGTTCTCTAAAAAGTGACACAAAAGAGATTCTGTTCATGTATGTTGCAGGCCGATGAAAGAGAGACATTTTAAAGAGGACTACTAATAAAACTGAAGGTATGCATGAAGCAGAAGTAATGTAATTAAATAATTGACCATGCCTAGCAAAACTATGTTGACTGTGAAAGTGTCCAAGCTTTTTATTCAAATACATGTAGAACAGTAGAAAACTGTAGACTGGAAATATTTTACACATGGTTTACACAATTATTAGAACCCTCAATAGCAGGCTCAGGGTATTCAGTATTTTGTATCTATGACCAAGAAAAGCTTTTCTGCAGATTGTAGCTTCAAAGTGGGGATGGCGTGTGCAGGTTGATGTGCAACGTTAATTTTTTCCCCACACAAAGATGTCTGCATGCGTGCAGGCCAAAAACTTCAATTTTTTTGTCATCTAACAAGAACCTCTTCATCAACGTCTTTCCTAAGCCTCCTACATGGCTTATGGGAAACAGAAAATGGGAATCTTTTGGCTTTCTTTCAACAGTGACTTTTATGTTCCATTCTTCATTAAAGATTAGGTAGTTAATGACTTATAATTGGTCATATGAACAGATTCTGCCATCTGTGATGCAGATATGCACAGCTTCTCCTAACTGTGAGCAGTACTTTTTGTCATTAATAATGTTTGGTCTTTGGTGTCACTTCACTAATATCCTGGGTCAGACTATTGAGGCCTTCATAGATCATAGGGATAAAAATAGCACAGCGTTTTATTTAGGGGTAATTGGGGAAAAAAGGAGGCAAAATACACACGCCGGCTACAGCATGATATAAATATTTCAGATATAAATATTTTAAAATCAACTAATTGACTCTTCTTCTTCCACTTCACAAACTTGCATCGCTTTGTGTCAATGTGTAACAAAATTTGATACAGCAAAGTGCGATTTTTACATGAAAAAGGGCGATTTTCCAAACTTTTTCAGAAAAATGTCAGCTTTTGGGAAGTAAACCATGTGTTTTTCCAACCTAAAATCCTCATGCAAACTATTCTTGTTTACCTTCTGCACAGGTGCATTCATTATCCCTACAGAGCTGGAGCAGTTTTCCTCCTTTCCTCTCTGGATGGTAGAATTTCACACAAGGTGTTTCTGAAATAGAAGAGGAACAAACCCCCACATATTTAAAACAAATGTATTCTTAGAATAGAATAGAATAAAGTAGATATATCCTTTATTGTCCCACAATAGAGAAATTCTGGCACAGCGGCAGGTTAGGTAAGTGGGAATGTGCATATTTATATAAATTTAAAGCATCAGAAAAAGAATTTTGTAGAGGAAAACTATAGCCCATCCCTTTTAAAACTTACGCTCATAGTACTCATAGACAGACACGGCTGCTGGCTGTAAGACGCCAACTTTTAATTTTTGTTGGATCCTAAAGCTGATCTCCTCTGGCTGTGTGTGTGAAACCTGGTGAGAGATTTCAAAATAAGTGAGGAACACTAATGAATAATAAAGAAAAAAAAAAACAAAACAAGAGAAGGTTGAATTATTTACCTTGTCCAGATAGATGACGAGTGAGCCTCTTTCGGACAGAACTGTGTTCATCTCATACCTTGCAATGGTGCGGGCGCGTCCTTTAGACAACTGCACACACAAATAAACATGTGGCCTGGGTACTTTAAGCTACAAAACTGACTTTGGGTTAAATGAGAAGTATAAATTCTAATATGCCAAACTCTGATGTGTAGTTCAAATATAAAATAAGTTTAAAAAACATGCTGAAATCAGCTTAAACACATTTCCTGTTTTGGTTATTAACAAAATTCAATAGATTTGCTTCATGCTATGAGTCTCAGGGAAATTTCTTTGGAGAATTGTCTTGAAAGCTTTTGATAGCACTTTATTTGACGGGCTGTGCATCAGACAGACATAATACTGTCATAAACATGATGCAGCACCTGTTATGAACACAAAGGAGTCTTCATGGAAGGTTATGAGTGTTGTCATGAAGAGTATAATGACACTTTTAATGCAAAGTCGACACTTTTAATGGACTTTTAATGTGAGTTTTGGCAGAACTTTGTATTAAAAGTGATATTATTCACAGAATAATGCAAATTTGGCCATTTTAATAGACCTTTAAGGCAACTTTTAATGTAACTTTGAATTAAAAATGTCATCATTTTCCAAATGACACTTCATGGAAACAGTCAAACATTCATGAAGACTGGCTCATAACTGGTGTTAAGTCATGTTCATGACAGTGTCATGTCAGTCTTATTTTGAAAAATTGATGCAACATCTCAAGACATCAGCGATCAAGTTAAAACATGGGCACAAATGGGTCTCCTAGATGCCACCAACCCCCAAGTTAGTTTTAAAAAAATGGTTTTAGAGTAGCAAAGTTAACGCTTCAGAGTACGCATGACAACAGTTCTCACATCATTCTGGCATTTAGCAAACAGAAATAATTTGGATATCCAAAACTGACCTAAACTAGGAAGAGCTTAGTTTGCTTTAATTTGACAAATAATAAAAAAGTTGCATCGTTTTATACACTGTATGTAAATATCTGGATTCAGCCGTAGGTTTCTCGTTTTAACTCTTACCGCGTCCAGATCCTTTGTGTCAACAGTGAATCCGGTGAGCAGGCCGATGTCTAGGATGGTCATTTTTGCGTCGCTGTCCCTGTCCTTATACCTTTGTGCAAAACGTTCAGAGAAATTTTTCATAATTTCACAGACCGTTTTTAGCACGAGCTGAAGTGAGGTGTACTGTACTTACAGAACATCGATCCTAAGCATGTAAATCTTGCCATCGTCTGTCTCTTTTTCTGAAGAAGCATATTAAATCCATATAAAGTATGCATTTTTTTAAACAAATCACATGAATGGAGAATAACAAAAACAGAACAAATGAATACCAAATTACCTGGGATTAGTTGGACAGAGAGATTAAACTTCTGACAGTCACTTTCCTTTTCTTTAGGAATAGCATAATAAAGCGAAACCATCTGTAACATCAAGAACATGTAGGATTATTGTGCTGTGATGTTACAACAAGATATTATTTGTCCAAATTTTGGACTTTATGCACACAAAAAAAAAAACTGATGAAAAATGTAACTATTTTATAGAATTCATTTGAACTACAATTATGTTTTAAGTTATCCACAATTCCCAGTAGAAAATATAGATTTTGCCTGGCCAACATTAAACTGTGCACATTTGTTTAATTTAGACCACACAATGTCCTCTTCATATTTCAATTAAAAGAAACAAATCTGTGAAAATCTGTGATCCAACCTTAATATGAATGAATTAAGTCAAAACATACTTTTTAGATGTGTTTCTGTTTCTAAACATCTAGCAATTCATGAGCACTTGAAATTATCTGTCCATATCCACTGAGGTGTTTATATATGAATGCAATGCAGATATATATATATATATATATACTAAGTTGGAAAACGTTCAGACACAACACACAATAATATATACTATATATATATAATATATATATATATATATATATATATATATATATATATATATATATATAAAATAACATAAAAAATAAAGACTTTTCAGACAAATGTGCATGTCACCAAAAATTCCTAAGCTAAGCATTGTTTTGTAAAAATGTTCACTACTGCCCCTACTATTTAATATGACAAACACTTTGATATGAAACGCATTTTAAAAAGAAAATCTTCATAATTTGTAGACAGTCATTATTGCTAATAGATATTTTTGTACATAATAAATGCATCAGACTCTTAATGCATCTGAATGAAAGAATTAATCTGTTGTGTCTGAACGTTTTCCAACTTAGTTTTATGGTTCACAGTTTGTATAATGCTAAAAAAAAAAAAAAAAAAAACATCTGGAATTAAAAAAAAAAAAGTTACTTACTTTCACTGTTGCTTCTCCCGTTCCTGTGGCAGTAACTTTCACGTCCTGGTTGATGTCATTAAGCTGTCGAAATTTTAATTTGTAATTTAGGAAAAAGCAAATCATAAAAAAAAACCTCAAAGTTTTAAAAAAGGAGGTTGTGATCTCACTTTAGATGTTCTTGTGGCGAACTGATTATCTCTGTTAAAGTTGAACTTGTCAGGCTTTGATCTGCCCGGCAACAAGA